GGAGCCCCAATCCGAGCAGGTTTGGCCCCCACGGACTCCCCCTGTGCCCCTCCCCAGCCCTGCCGGCAGCACCATGTCCTCCGAGTCCAGCAAGAAGAGGAAGCCCAAGGTGATCCGCACAGACGGGGTCCCAGCCGAGGGCAAGCGGGGCAAGGGCGACACAGACCAGGTACAGACCTGCCCAGGGACCCTCCCACACCCCTCTGTGCTGGCCTGGCTTTCCCTGCTGGAAAGCAGTGCCCAGAGAAGCTGTGGCTGCCCCGTCCTGGCAGTGTCCAAGGCCAGGTTGGACGGGGCTTGCAGAAAACTGGGATAGTGGAAGATGTCCCTGCCCATGGGACTGGATGGGCTTTAAAGTCCCTTCCCACCCAAACCTTTCTGGAATTCCATGAATTGTGAGATCCTCAGCTTCCAATGCCTCTTAAAGTCCTGCTGTGAATTCCTAAACCTGCTTCCATCTCTTTCAGGAGACACAAACACTCCTCTGGAGAGTAAGCACAAAGCTGGAAGATCCCTCAGGGATTTGCATGGTGCCTTCAAAGCCTCCCGTGAGCAGCAGGATAGTGTAGGATCAGCCAGAGCGGGGAGTGGGGAGGAGGAATCACCTTTCTGGTTTATCCTCTGTGGTCATGTAGATCATGGAATACCCTGAGTTGGAAGGGATCCTCGAGGATCCTCCTGTCTGACTCCTGGACCTGCACAGGACACCCCAACGGCATCAATTCAAATTCACAATAAAAGCCAGCCTGAAATTGCCAGGTGTTTTAGTGACTGGTGGGTTTGGGGTTGTTGGAACTGAGTCCTCTCCCTGTGTAAAGCCATGGGATTCATGGGCAGAGCCAGAAATGGCAGCTTGTCCCCCAGAGCCCTTTCCAGGGGGAGGGATGAGCCACGGGAGGTGTTTCTGCCTTGGCAGGATGTCAGGTACTACAGCGAGGAGAGCGAGGTGGATCTGCGCGACCCCATCAAGGACTACGAGCTCTACAGGGAGACCTGCCAGGAGCTCCAGAGGCTCATGGCAGAGATCCAGGAGCTGAAGAGCCGGGGCATCAAGGAAAATGTGAGGAAAGGCCTCCATGTGTGGTGTAACGTGTTTGTTGTTTGGTGTTTCCCTGTTAATCCCAGAGGAAAGGCAGCAGGAGCTGTGATGTCTCCTGGGCAGAGTCAGGGAGAGGGAGCAGCCTCTCTTTCCCAAGCTGCTGGGGAGGGAATTGAGCCCCTGGAAATGGAACAGCTTCCTTTGTCCAAGGCTGCTGGGGCAGGGAACTGAGCTCTGGAAATGGAACATTTCCCTTGTCTTGGGCTCCTGGAGCAGGGTTTTTACTCTGGAAATAGAATAGCCTCCATTGTCCCAGGCTTCTGGGACATGTCAGGTGCTTCAGGCTGAACCACCTCTGTTCCTACTGCTGAGGAAAATGACTAGAGTGATTCTTGGAGGGGCCTGGACCCCAGTTATTCCCAGCAGTGCCCTGTGATCTGGCAGCGGGAGGCTCCCTCAGACCCCCCAGTGCCATAAATGTGCCCCCATGGCAAAGCGTGGAGCCCCTTTTGTGGCAGGAATTCCCTGCAAAGATGGTGGCAGCCATCCCTCCTGCTTCCAACCCCTCTCCTGCCCCTCAGGCCTCCGAGATCGACGAGCGGCGCGTCCAGAGCTGCGTCCACTTCATGACCCTGAAGAAGCTGAACCGCCTGGCTCACATCCGGCTGAAGAAGGGCAGGGACCAGACCCACGAGGTACCCAGGAGGGGCTGGGAGTGAGGAATGCAGCTTGGCATTTAGGGGGGTCAGAGATGGGGTGAGTCCTGCCTGTTCTGTGTGTGTGGTGTGAGGAGTTACACCTCAGCCAGGTCGTGGGGTTTGAGTTGAGGGATTGTTGGGAGGCTCCGATCCTGATGGACTTCTGCTGGGTGCAGGGCAGCTGTAATTAGGTAAATAATGAAGGAGCAGTCTCTGCTTTTTGTCTCAAGTATAGTGGGAAGTCAGAAAACTCTGTTTCGAGGGTCTGGGGTTTTGCAGGTGTATAAATGGGTGGATGATTGGCCTGGAGGCTCTATACCCAGAGAGGGGACTCTGTGTGCCCCAGCAAATGAGCCCTGTCCTGTGCCTTGGCTTTGAAATGTGCTGGAAGGATCAGGATCAATCTCATGTCACAATTCTTTGCTCCTCCAGCCCTTAAAAATGTCATTCTTCGCTCCCAAAATTGTTGCATACCCTAAAACCTGCTGTCCCAAGCTGCTGTAGTGATGGGGTGTTGGTGACTCCCTTGGGGTGTCTTTCCTTCTCCATCCCTGCTCTGGCTGTGTCCGTGTTTCAGGCAAAGCAGAAGGTCGATGCCTATCACCTGCAGCTCCAGAACCTGCTCTACGAGGTGATGCACCTGCAGAAAGAGATCACCAAGTGCCTGGAGTTCAAGTGAGTGTGGCCAGGGAGCAGAGGGAGCACTGGTGTGTCTGGAAGGGGTGGGTGATTCCCGTGTTTGGGAGCTCTTCCCACGTTCCCCGAGTTCACTGTGGGAGCAGAGTGGGTGCTCCAGGTGTTCTGTAATCATGGAATGGTTTGGGTGGGAATGCTCATCCAGTGCCACTCCCTGCCATGGCCAGGGACACCTGCCACTGTCCCAGGCTGCTCCGAGTCCTGTCCAGTCTGGCCTTGGGCACTGCCAGGGATCCAGGGGCAGCCCCAGCTGCTCTGGGCACCCTGCGCCAGGGCCTGCCCACCCTGCCAGGGAACAATTCCTGCCCAATATCCCATCCATCCCTGCCCTGTCTATTGGAATCCACTTCCTCTTGTCCTGTCACTCCAGGCTTTTATCCAGAGTTTCTTTCCAGCTCTCCAGGAGCCCCCTTAGGCACAGACAGTGGAGGAGAAGAGTTCAGCTCACTGGTGGTGGTGGCTCAGGAGCAGAGGGGAATCAGGGCAGGAAGCAGCAGTGGGATGCTCTCCTGTGGGACGTTGGGCACTTTTCCCTGATCTGATCCATGTGTCCTGGCAGATCCAAACATGAGGAGATCGAGCTGGTGAGCCTGGAGGAGTTCTACAAAGAGGCCCCCCCTGAAATCAGCCGCCCTGCCATCACCCTGACCGAGCCCCACCAGCAGACCCTGGCCCGCCTGGACTGGGAGCTGGAGCAGCGCAAGAGGTGGGTCAGTGGTGCTCCCATCCACTCCCAGCTGGAGTTCTGGGTGCTCCAGGGATCTGGGCAGACACCCAGAGCTGCTGGGAGAGCAAATGTAGGGATGAAGTTTTTCACAGCCTCTTGGATCAGTGTGGAACAGGCAATTATTGTGCGGCTGGGAGATTCCCTCTGTGCAGAGCTGGGCTTGCTGGGATCCTTGTTCCAAAGGTCAGGGAGTTCTCTGTCACTGCCTGATGATCCCAGGAGCAAAGGGAGCCCATCCTGGCTGGAGCTGCTGCCATTCCATGCCATGGTGTGGAGCTGCCAACCACGCCACAGCCCTGTGTCCTGCTGCTGGCGTCACCGCTGTCCCAGGGCTCAGCTGCTCCCTGACTCTTGCCCCCTGGGAAAAGCAAGCATGACACAGCATTCCTGTGTTTGGGTAACATCCAGGCAGTGTCCAGGAACACCTTCTGGAAAGATCAGTTGGAACATGCTGGTTGGTGCTGCCTGAGGGCAGCTCAGCAGAGCAGACAGTGAGAGGTGCTGGGTGTCTCCAACCCCTCATGCTTCATTTTTCCCAGATCCTTTCCTTAAAACCTGGCTGGAAGGCACAGCCAGGATCCTCCAGCTGGCTCTGCCTGCGGCACAAGAGGGTTGTGCTTAAAAATGATGATTGCAGACCTCATGGAGACCCTCAGCTGCACATTAAATTGCTGAGAAGCCTTGGAATTCCCAGTCCTCACTCTGTGGTGTCTAAGGAATGCTCTTGTCCATCTCCAGTCGCTGCTGAGGTGGGATATGGCCTGTTCAGCTGCTCAGGAGCAGATGCCAGTGGTGCTTTGGGCATTTTCTGATGTTATTGGGGTTGTCAACATCTGTCCATAATTTATGTTGGTGTTTTCAGATGTGCAACCCCATTGAATTGGCTTTGGATGCCTCTCCACCTTGTGTGAGGTGCCTCTGGAGTGGTTTCAGTAGCTCTATTTTGGGAAGATGAGTGAACCTTGGAGCTCACTGGTGCATGTGTAGGAGCCTGTTGGGATGTGCATTCACCCTCACAAATACAGTTTTGCTTGGGAACAGAATCCAAGTTCTGCACAGTCAGGTCTGTTCCCCCTTGGAGAACCCTTGTCCTGAGCAGGTCACTTCCACACCCAGCTTCCCTGCTCCTGCTGGGAAAGGGCTTGCAGTCAACAGCAATAAGGAGATTTGCTGTGCTCTCCCTAAATATGAGTGCATCCAGGTCTCAGAGCATCGTGGTGGGCTTGCATTTTCCTGGCCTTTCTCTACTGAACCTTGTCTGTGTGACATGAAGACTCTGGGGATAGGAAGTGACAAAGTCTCTTAGAGAGCTTGGAATGGTTGTAGCTGCTGGCAGCAGAGCTGGTGTGGGAGCAGATCTCCTGAGGGAAGATCCAGTTGCTGCCCCTCCATGGAGCACAGCACGGGGCTGAGCTTCACCTTGTTTGTTTTCCATCTCCAGTCAGTTCCTTCCTGCCTCCACTCACCTGTGGGTTTAGGAGCTCTGTGTTTGCTTTGTGTCTGAGTTCTCCTGGTTCCCTGTGTCAGGGCAGGAATGCTGACAGGTTAATCCAGGGTGGATGAACCTCAGCAGGTTTAGAGCTGTGGCTGTGCTGTGTGGCAGTGACAGAATTCCCACCCCTAGGCTGGCAGAGAAGTACAAGGAGTGTCTGACCAGCAAGGAGAAGATCCTGAAGGAGATCGAGGTGAAGAAGGAATATCTGAGCAGCCTCCAGCCTCGACTCAACAGCATCATGCAGGTACCTGAGCCCTGCAGGAGGTCACAGTCCGAGGGGCAGCTCCTGGGCTGCTTTGGGTTCTGAGATGTTTCATTCCCACTCGGGGTGGGCGAGGGGCAGATCCTGAGTCTCCTTTTTTATTTATGCGGCAATTCCTGCAGAACTGCAGCTGCAGGAGCTGCTAAATGGGCCTTTCCCTGGAGAGCCCCACGCAGTTCCAGCCCCCTGTGACTGCCTTGAGAGGGAAGAACAGGAGAAGGAACTGGGTTATTTCCAGATCCAAAACTTTCCCAGCAGAGGCAGCTGCCAGCCCTTTCCTGGGGCTCTCCATGTTTAACCCTGCACCACCACTGCTGGGCCGGCTTCATCTCCCACTCTCTCGGGGTGAGGAGGATGAGCAGTTCCCTTCCCAGTGATGGAGGCTCTCCCTGTCATTCCCCAGGCCTCCCTGCCTGTCCAGGAGTACCTGTTCATGCCCTTTGACCAGGCTCACAAGCAGTACGAGACTGCCCGGCACCTCCCGCCGCCTCTCTACGTCCTCTTCGTCCAAGCCAGTGCCTACGGACAGGCCTGTGGTGAGCACCGAGGGGCAATGCCCCCCACGGGCCACATTTCACTCCTGCCTGCAGGAATCACCACTTTTTGGGGGTCTTTCCCTGCTGTCTGCTCTGCTGTTGGATTCTGCTGAGCGCAGAGCAGCGGGGTGGCCCCACGGCGCAGTGAGGCAGCAGCATTTGAAACCTTGTTTGCTCAGCTGCCTCGCTGGAAGAAGTGCTTGGGAAGCTCCCTTCCCACCCCTTCCCCCCTTCCCAAGGTCAGCAGGGATGTCCTTGCAGCCTGTGAGCTGTCACAACTTCCCCAGAGCTGTGTTCCCCTGTCTTGTGCCACCTATGGGGGACCCCAGGACTTGTAGAGGCCATTCCCACAGCTCACCTGGAAACCTTCATCCTCTCAGGAAGCTTTGTATTTTATGGGGATTTCTGGAGCCTCCCTGAGTTGGGAGAGATTTCCTGGAAGAGATCAGGAATCCCACTGGCCTGTGCACACCTGTGCAGATGCAGCCATGGTGACACCGCTCCTCAGTCCCTGCTTGTCCCAGCCAGACCCCAACGTCTCTTGGCTCTTAATAAAGATTTGGCCCGTACAATTTTCAGGGAGAGTCCCTCAAAACCCAGCATTTTCCATCCTCTCACACCATCCTGCCCAGGAGATCCAGCTCAATGGTGGCCTCCCAGAACCTTCCAGGCAACTGCTCTTCCCACTGGCCTTTTACTGGAGCTTCCTTCACCAGGAATCAGGAGCTTTTGAGGCAGGGCTGCTCTGCCCACTGCCTTTGCAGCAAGAATGGGATTCCTAACACAGTTTTTCTGTCTCCTCTGAAGATAAGAAGCTGGTGGTGGCCATTGAAGGGAGTGTGGAGGAAGCCAAGGCCCTTTATAAGCCACCTGAGGACTCGCAGGGTGAGTTTTGGTGTTGCCCTGGGGACTTGTTCCTGTGTGTCTGCAGCTCTTGGGATCCTGCTTTTGTTGGGAGAGGGGGTCAGGGGGAGCCATGGGCTTGTAAAAATCCCTGCTGGTGCTGCTGGTGGTGGGAGAGCTGAGCCCTGGGCAGTCCCTGCTGACTCCCCTCTCTGTGCACAGATGATGAGAGTGATTCCGACGCAGAGGAGGAGCAAACCACGGTAAGGGACAGCTCTGTCCCCCCTGGGTCCTCTCCCAGCACTGCATCAGGGGAGGTACTGGGAGAGCTGGGGCTGGGAACTGCCCCTGCACGCTGTGGGTGTGTGTGGAAGTGCAGTGATGTCAAATCCCAACCTTTCTTGGGAGGAGGGAGCTGCCATTTCCAGTTGGTGTCCCAAATGCAGGAGCAGCCAGGGTACAGAGCTGCTCCTCTCATGTCCCATCCCGCCCTGCAGCTCTCCGGCTGGAGCTGCTCCACTTTGTATAAATAGCCTGAGGGCAGGGAGCGGGTGTCCAACAGGGAGGGATTCGTGTCCATCCTGTGCCAAAAGCATTCTCTGCACCAGGGCTTGTTCAGCACTCCTTGGAGGAAGTGTTTCTGCTACAGATAATTCCTGCTGGATGCTGAGGACAGGCTGGATGTGCTGGTTACTCCCAGCAGCCAAGCCTGAAGGGGCTCTGGGTCTCCACTCCCACCACCCAGCAGCAGAGCCAAGTGCATGGAGCTGTTCTGTGGGGAAGGGTAAAGGGAAGGGAGCAGATCTGGGGAGAAGGGGCTGGAGCCCCAGGAGCGGCTGAGGGAGCTGGGAAAGGGGCTCAGCCTGGAGAAAAGGATGCTCAGGGGGCCCTTGTGGCTCTGCACAACTCCCGGCCAGGAGGGGACAGCCGGGGAGGGTCGGGCTCTGCTCCCAGGGAACAGGGACAGGAGGAGAGGAGAGTTTGCCAGAGGAGGATATTGGGAAAATTCCTTCACATAAAGAGCTGTCCAGCCCTGGCACAGCTGCCCAGGGCAGGGGTGGATCCCCATCCCTGGAGGGATTGAACAGCTCTGGTTGTGGCACTGGGGACATGGGGCAGTGGTGGCTTTGGCTGTACTGCAGGAGCGGTTGGACTCGATGTTCTCAGAGGGCTTTTCAAACCCAAAGGATTCAGTGATTCTAGGTTCTGCCTCTTGCAGTGAGAAAGCTTTTGGGCCAGCAGGTCGTTGGCTTTGTCTCCCAGGAGTGGAGACATTCCTTGGAGCTGAAGGAATGACAGGAACTGGAGCTGAGTGAGGGTTTCCTGCTCCTGTCCCTCCCCAGGGCAGCTGTGGCTTTGCTGCTGGGGGATTGTGGAACTGGACTGGAGGGAAAGAGCTGGGGAGGTCCATGGGTTGGTGAGGAGCAGGAGAAGGCTCTGACAGCTGTTTTGCCCCCCCAGAAGCGGCGCAGGCCCACCCTGGGCGTGCAGCTGGATGACAAACGCAAGGAGATGCTGAAGAGACACCCCTTGTCAGTCACCCTCGACTTGAAGTGCAAAGGTGAGGGGCTCTGGGGTGTGACAGCAGCTCAGGGACTGACCCCAGCAGCACCCTGGGGACCTTGGGGGGAGCTGTAAGTGTGGAGGGGTTTCTCTGAACTGGTGCAGGCACCAATGTCACCCCTTCTGTGTGGGCAGATGAGAACGTGCTTCACCTGACCTTCCACTACCTGATGAACCTCAACATCATGACAGTGAAAGCCAAGGTGACCACTGCCATGGAGATGACCACAGCCATCAGTGCTGGGTAAGGAGAGCCCTGTGGGCAGCGAGCCTGGAGCTCATCAGGCAGTGATTCCATGGGGTTTGGGAACCCTGCAGAGCCTGGAGCTCATCAGGCAGTGATTCCATGGGGTTTGGGAACCCTGCAGAGCCTGGAGCTCATCAGGCAGTGATTCCATGGGATCCAGGAGCCCTGCAGAGCCTGGAGATCATCAGGCAGTGATTCCATGGGATCCAGGAGCCCTACACAGCCTGAAGCTCATCAGGCAGGGGCCCCTCTGCCCCCGTGGGTCCAGGAGTCCTGCACAGCCCAAGCACCTTCCTCCCCCTCTCCTCTGCCATGACAAGCCAGAGTCAGGGAGTTTGGGAATGTCTCAGCAGTTCCAGAGCTGTCAGGAACTGGGGAAAAGCCTCTCCTGCTGACACTTTCAGCCTCCCTCCCACGGGCAGAGCATGGCAGCTCCCTCACCTGACTGCTGCTGAGGTCACCTTGTCCTGAGCTCCAGAGATGCAGCTGCCTCTCCCCGTGCTCCCCAGAGCCTGCTGGAGCCTGATTGGTGTGAGGAAAAGCTGAAGTGGCAGCTTTGGGAGCCTGCCCAGGGAGCTCCCACCAGCTGCCAGCTCTCTGGTGGCTCTCCCTGTGACAGGAGGTGCCTGAGGAAGAGGGAGGTGGGAGAGGCTGGTCTGGGCTTGCCTGGGAGCAAGTGCTGCCTCCCAGCCTGTCCCATATGCAGCCTCCTCATCCTGTTGGGGTTCTCTTCTTGCTGCAGACACCCCAAACCCTCTGTGACAGCGGCTGGAGATCCTGTGCAGGGCATTCCCTCGCTCCTGCTTCCCCTGGCCGTGTTACCTCAAACCAGGGAGGCTGTGCCTTGAGCCAGACCCCAAATCCTACACAGCCTCTTGTGCTAGGTTGGTCTTGTGTGTACAGTCAGACATGAGGAATTTTATGGCACTGCAGGGAGCAGCTTCCTGGATGAGCAGGAGCTGGTGCCCTGTGATTTCCATCTTCTTCCAGGCAGGGAGGAGACCGCTCTCCTTCTGGAGTTGAGTTAAGGGGGAGTCGTTCTGGTCTTAACTCACAAAGCTCATAATCCCTTTCTCTGGGCTTGAAGCCTGTTCATGGAGGAATGAAGAGCCCAGACTGCTGCTGATTGACCTCTCCCCTCTTTCTGCCAGGGACCTGCTCTCCCCAGACTCCCTCCTCAACTGCCTCTATCCAGGGGACCACGGGAGGAAAACGCCCAACCCAGCCAACCAGTTCCAGTTCGATAAAGTGGGGTGAGTGTCACCCAGACCATTGCCGTTAGATTCTTGCTCCAGCACAGCAAATCCTCCCTGGCTTGATGTGACCCTTCCTCATTATCCCCACAGCATCCTGACCCTGAGTGACTACATGACAGAGCTGGGACACCCCTACGTGTGGGTGCAGAAGCTGGGTGGCCTGCATTTCCCCAAGGATCAGCCTCAGGCATGGCACAAACCCCTCCTCTCTCCCCCACAACACTGGGCTGAGATTTGGGGTCCTGTCAGTCCCCCTGCTGGCACCAGCTGCTCCCAAACCGTGGCAGGGACAGGCTGAGCTGGGCTGGGTGTGTGTGGGGGCCATGCTGACATATTTCATGTCACACTTGATAGTCCAAGCGCTTTTTGTGACACTGAATACTGGGTGCCTGTCCCTGTGGGGATGTGGCTCCTGGCCTGACATCCCTCCTGCCCACAGCACACGGTGGCTGCTGACAATTCCCTGAGTGCCAGCCACATGGAGCTGACGGTGAAGCTGCTCCGGAGCCGCCTGCAGTCCCGCCTGGCCCTGCACAAGCAGTTTGCATCCCTGGGTGAGAGCTGGGCTCCCCACCCTTCCCTGGGGCCAGCACTGCATTGGCAGGGTCCTGCACGTTCCTTGGGGACAGGGGTGCAGTGGCAGGGTCCTGATGCAGGGAAGCATCTCTTCCCTGCTCAGCCAGGTGCCATGGTCCTGAATCCCAGTTATTCCAAGCTGCTGCCCTTCTTCAGCCAGGACCTGAACTGGGAGGGAGAGTGGAACAGCAGCAATCACAGGAGAGGAGACATCAGCTGGCTGATGTCACCTTTGATGGATGGCAGTGCCACCCTCAGCATTCTCAGTTGTTCCCTCAGCCCTTGGAATGAAGGGACTGCTCATTTTGGGTGGTAGAGGAAGGTTCTGCCTCTTCCAGTGCCCAGCACCTCTTTGGGAATGTCCATCCCAGCGCTGGGAAGTGGTTTGGGATGTGGTGGGAGGTGAACTACACACCATGCATGTTGTGTGCCTGCCAAGCAGCCCAGGGGTTTAGTGGGATCATGAGCCAGGGATCCAGTGGGGCTGCAGGCCAGGGATCCAGTGGGGCTGCAGGATGCTGGGGGATCCCATGGGATCCCATGCTGGGCACTTGATGGAGCTGCTGAAGGACAACACCATCCCCAGGCCCCACTTTGGGAGTGTCCCCACTGCAGGATGGTGAGAGAGCTGTGTCCCCAGCCCTGCCCTGCTCAGGGGCCCTGTCCTTGCTTTCAGAGCACGGTGTTGTGCCGGTGTCCAGCGAGTGCCAGCAGCTCTTCCCGACCAAAATCGTCTCACGCCTGGTGAAGTGGACTGCCATTCCCTACGAGGATTATGCTGTAAGTGCTGAGCACGAGGCTGAATCCTTCCCTTCCAGCTCCCACATGGCACTGCAGCCATCATTCCTCCTCCTCCTCCTTAGGAGCTGCCCTACACTAAAGATGTGATAGAGGCTGGCTTGGCTGAAGACACTCACCTCTATTACATGGCCCTGATAGAGAGGGGAACAGGTAGGCACTTTTCATTCCCTTGGGAATTCCCAATCCCCATCCCAGGGCAGCTTCTGGCAGTCTTCATGGATATCTACCCGGAGGCCCTGTGAGTGACACCTTTTTCCTGCTCAGCCAAGCTCCAGGCGGCCGTGGTGCTGAATCCTGGTTACTCCACGCTGCCTCCCGTCTTCAGCCTGTGCCTCAACTGGAAGGGAGAGCGGAACAGCAGCAACGACGACAACATTCGGGTACTGTGGGCTGGGGACTGGATTTTTGGGGGTGTCCCCAGCACTTCTGTGTCTGTAAAAAGGGAGTGTTGGGGTGAGCTGGTGGCTGGACCCACCTGGGAATGCGGAGCAGAGATCCAAGCCCGTGCCAACCTCATCCCTGTTTTCAGGCCATGGAAAGGGAGGTCAATGTCTACTACAAGGAGCTGTGGGGGCCCAAACCTGGCTACCAGCTCCTCACCAACCAGCTGCAGCGCCTGTGCATGGTGCTGGACGTGTACCTGGAGACAGAGCCCCACGATCCCAGCGTGGAGGGGCCCAAGGAATTCCCCCAGGAGAAGATGTGTCTGCGCCTGGTCAGGTGGGAGCTGCCTGGGGACTGAGGCTGCTGGCAGGGACTCCATGGTGGCATTGCTGTTCTGTGGAGCCACCCTAGAAACCTGTCCTGGAGGGATCTGCCCCCACAGCAGGGCAGTAGCCCAGGATTTGATTTCCTGTGGGTGCCATGGGATGTTCCTGTTCTCCATGGGTCACAGTCTCTTCCTCTTCTCTTCCAGGGGTCCCCTGCGCCTGAAACCCTTCAAGTTCAACTACCCCCAGGGGTTCTTCAGCCATCGCTGAGCAGCCCTGGGCATCATTCTGGGATGGGACTCCTTCACTCTGTGGGAGGAGTGTCCCCATCCTGACATTTCTGCTCCTTTTACAATATTTTGGGTTTTGTTTGAAGGTTTTGTAGTTAAAGAGATTAAACTGAGCTAAAGACAAAAATGTGTGGGTGCCTCGTCTGTGCAGAGGGCTGGGATGAGAGACCTGTGAGGGCTGCAGCAAGCCCTGTGTCCCATCCCTGGGCTCTGACAACCTTTCCAGGGACACTCCCTGCCTCCTGACATCCCTCCCCACCACAGGCACTGGGGAGCTGAGATGGCTAAAAACTGAGGTGGCTAAAAATAGCCCTTTTCCAGAGCCCGCACTGCAGCCCCAGCCTGTCCTTGCCAGTTGACTGCCATCCCACTTGGCATAATCCCTGCATCCCGGGGGGCTTCTCTGCTCCTTGTGCTTGGAGGGGAGCAGAGAAGGGTCCTGGGAGAGGCAGGATGAGGGTTGGGACATCTCAGCATCCCAGCTTGGCATCAGGAGTTGGGATGTGCCCCCTCCCTGGCACTGCTGAGTGGGGGTGCCATCCTCTCTCCCAAAATCACTGTCCCTGCTTCTTCCCAGGCTCTCCGTGTCTCTCCTGGGAGTGATTTGTCCCCCAGGAGGGCTGGCAGCCCCTCTGCTGCTCCCCCCAGCCCCTGCCCTCGGTGCAGTGCTGCAGTGCCAGGCTGTGCCGCAGCCCTTGGGTTAAACCAGGCTCTCCCGGCCCCTCGGGAGCCACGCTTTAAAAAAAGAAGGGGAAAAACACTGAAATACTTTGGGAAGCGCAGCAGGGCTGCCCCTCTTTCCTTCCTCAGGACACAGGGTCCTCTGTGCCTGCTGTGGGGTGTGTTTCCCCTCTGGAAATGTCACTCCCCCCAGCCCTGGGTGACAGATCCCAGCCCTGCATTCCCACCTTCCCTCCCTGTCTTCTCCCCAGCACAAGCCAGCAGAGCCAGGGTGTTTCCGTAAGCACTTTTATTTGGTTATTGCACAGAAAGCAAAGATCAGTGGGCTGAGGTTCCTGGTGCACCGTGTGTGTCTGTGAGCATTCCAGCAGCTCCCAGCCTCTCCCACCTCTGCCCAGAGGGACTGTCACCCCCCAGGGCAGGGCAGGACCCCGCCAGCCCCCCCAAGCAGCTACAGCTCTGCATTGCACTCATCCATCCATTGCACATACATTAAATAAATGCACTTAAGAGGAGAAGGGCAGTGGGGCTCCCCTGGGGGTCCCCCCTCTTCTCCTGGGTTATAATTCAAGTGTTTAAATGTGGCGCTCGGCGAGTATCACGTTCTGCGAGGGAAGCAGTCGCCCACCCGAGGGGCTCTCACGGACCTATTGCTAAGGGAAAGCCTGGCCTGGGGGTCCCTGGGGTCCCACCCCGGGCCCAGCCATCGCAGGGAGCGGAGCAGCTCCTGTGCCCGGAGGTGCCTTCGGCGCCTGGGACTCTTCCATCACTTCTTCCCTGGCTCTGGGGCTGTGCCCTCCTTGCTGGAGGGAGCCTCGGCTTTGGGGGGTTCCTTACTGGCTTTGGGCTCATCTTTGGGTTTTGCTTTAGCTTTAGGTTCCTCCACTTTCTTGGGTTCCTCTGCCTTCTCCTTCTTGGGCTCCTCCACTTTCTTGGGCTCCTCCACCTTCTCCTTCTTGGCCTCCTCTGCCTTCTCCTTCTTTGGTTCTTCTACTTTCTTCTTGGGCTCCTCCACCTTCTCCTCAGCCTTTGGCTTCTCAGCCTCCTTGGTGGCTGCCTTGCTGGCCTCATGCTGAGGTTTTGCTGGAGCCTCCTCAGCTTTTCCCTCTTCAGTGGGTTTGGGGCTTGGCTTGGTCTCTTTGGCCTGCGGAGCTGGAGGCTCTGGCACAGCAGCCGCCTTCTCTTTGGGTTTCTCCTCTGCCTTGGCCAGGACATCCTTCTTGGGAGCTTCCTCCTTCTTACCCTCCTCGGGCTTGGAGGGAGCCTTCACCTCCTTGGGCTGCTCCTCCTTGGCAGGGGCCTTTGGCTCCTTCGGAGCAGGGCTCGGCTCCTTGGCTGGGGCCACTTCCTTCTGCGGAGACTTGGCCTCCTCCTTCACAGGAGATTTGACTTTCTCTGGGGACTTCACAGCCGGGGGCTTGGCCTCCTCCTTTGAGGGGGTTGGGGGCTTCTCTGGGGATTTGACAGATGGGGGTTTGGCTTCCTCTTTTGAGGGAGTTGCCGGTGGCTCTGGAGACTTCACAGCCGGGCTCTTGGCCTCCTCTTTAGAGGGGGCCGGGGGTTTCTCTGGGGACTTGACAGTCGAGGTCTTGGCCTCCTCTTTTGAGGGGGGTGTGGGTTTCTCTGGGGATTTCACTGTCGGGGTCTTGGCCTCATCCTTTGAGGGAGGTGCAGGTTTCTCTGGGGACTTCACTGTCGGGGACTTTGCCTCCTCTTTTGAGGGTGTTGGTGGCTTTTCAGGGGATTTGACAGCTGGAGTTTTGGCTTCCTCCTTTGAGGGGGTTGGGGGTTTCTCTGGGGACTTCACAGCCGGGCTCTTGGCCTCCTCCTTTGAGGGGGTTGCAGGTTTTTCTGGGGATTTCACAACTGGGGTCTTGGCCCCCTCCTTGGAGGGGGTCAGGGGCTTTTCAGGGGACTTGACTGCTGGGGTCTTGGGCTCCTCCTTTGAGGGGGACTCGGGTTTCTCTGGGGTCTTGGGCTCCTCCTTTGCAGGAGACTTGGCCTTTTCTTCACCCTCTTCTTCAGCTTTCTCCCCTTCTTCTTCCTCCTCCTCCTCCTTCTCTTCAGCTTTTTCCTCTTCAGCCTCTTTCTCAGCCTCCTCCTCCTCTGTGACCTCCTCAGTCACCTGGATTTCCTCTGTCTGCTCCTCCACAATCACCGTCTCCTTCTCTGATTTTTCCACCACCTTGATCTTCTCCTCGCTCTTCACCTTGATGCTGGTGGTGATGCTGGGGGGCTTGGGGACCACCTCGGGGTAGGAGAGCATGCCAATGCCAGTCTCGAGCCGATATTCCTCTCCTTCCAGGAGCTTTCTGCCAGGGAGAGATCAGAGCAGGGCACTCAGTGACGGCTTCTCATCTCCTCCCGTGACCAGGAGCTACCAGCAATGTCCTGCAGCTCTGTCCCCCTCCCTGCTCCATCCTGGATGATCCTCCTGCTCCTGTGGCCTGGGATGAGCAGCTTTCCTTGCCCTTCCCTCCACACACCACTGAGTCACCCAACTGGACATTACCCACCATGGCTTTGGAGCCACCAAAAAGAGCCCAGGTGTTAACAAGGGACCTTGAGCAGACCTGCCTGAGACCCCCCACACCTTCCCCTGCCCCCCCTGTACCTGTAGGCAGCGATTTCGATGTCCAGGGCCATTTTGACGTTGAGCAGATCCTGGTACTCCCGGAGCTGAGCTGCCATCTCCCACTTGGTGTTCCTCAGCTCGCTGTCAAGCTGCTGGATGGTTTCCTGTGGGCAGACAGAGCAATAATTTGTGGAGAGGGGGACACGTGGCACAGTCCCCAGGAGCAGGGGGACACAGAGCACCCCTAAAGGGTCCCCTGGTCTCCAGCACCAGCGGAGAGGAGTCTGCAGCCACCTCCTCCTGCAGACACACAGGGAAGGGGACACAGCCAAGGGTGGTCCCAGGGTGTCCAGTCACTTTGGGGGACCTGGCAGGAGCCCTGCACGCCCTGAGCAAGGAGCTGCTCTCCAGCTGAGCCCCTCCCAGCACTTCCTCCAGCAGGGACAAGCTGTGGGAATGCTCCCAGGACTTGGGTGAGTGCAGTGGAAATTGAACTGCAGCTGGAGGCTGATGGGGACAGCACTTCAGTCCAAGGCCACCAAGGCAGCCCTCACTTCCCAGGTCTGGGGGACGGGATGTTTGGACACACTTCCATGTTTGTAACCATCCTCAGGCAGCTTAGTGCCAGGCAGAGCCATGGGGCAGCTCCAGGGGTGCTGAGAGCCACAAGAGCCCGGACACCAGCTCAGGCTCTGGGTTCCTGATCCCTGTGGGCTGGGCCAGGCCAGTTCTGACACTGCCCCGAGCATTTGCCACGACTTCACATCCCTGAAGCTGAAATCCCAGCACTGCTCCTCCCCAGCCTGGGCTGCTGCCCACTGCGCCACGGTACCTGGTAGGACAGGACATCTGCGTGATGGCGCTCCTCCGAGTCCTGCCTCTGCCTCTCCAGCGACTCCTGGGTCCCTTTGAGGGCTTCCAGCTCGGTGGTCTTGGCCTGGAGCTGCCGGCGGTACTCGGAGATCTCCTCCTGGGCCAAGCGCATGGCATCCGTGTTCACCTTGGCCACCTCCGAGAGCTTGTCCAGCCTCACTGCAATGGAAAAGAGAAGCTGCAGGGCGGGAGGGAAGGAGGCTGAAGCCTCCCCTCCTTGGGGAAATTCAAACCCGTCCATGCCACACATCCCTGTCCTCTGCAGAGCTGTCCCAGGCACCCTGAGACCTCTGCCTTCCCCACCTCTCGCTCCAGCTCTGCCGGGAGGTGAAGGAGGACGGGCAAGACGAGCTCGGGGGTGTTTCTGCCATCCTGGACTTCACCCAGTGCAGATCCTCGCTGCAGCCCCCGCCTCCCCTTCAGCTGTGCCACAGCCCCCTGTCCCACGGCGCTGCCTCCCTGCCGCATCCCAGACACGCCAACCCCGGCCCGGGGCGGGGGGGTTTTGCCGCAGCGCCCTGCGGACACCCCAGGGGACGAGGATGGGCACAGAATGAAGGGACAGGAACGGGGATCAGCGATCCTGCGGCTCCCCGGGCAGCCCCAGCCCCGCGGGACGGCTCCCCTGGCTCGGCGCTGCCGCTGCC